GAGATGTTTTCTGAGCAGAGTCTTCACTCTGTCCTGTCACGGCTGATCGAGCCCCCAAGGACTGAGTCCTTGCAGGCATCAAAGGTGCGGCTGCGGGACCTGGGAGCGTTAACTCCGGAGGAGAAGCTCACTCCTCTGGGATACCACCTGGCCTCGCTGCCTGTGGATGTCAGGATTGGCAAGCTCATGCTGTTTGGCACCATCTTCCGCTGCCTGGATCCTGCACTGACCATAGCAGCCAGCCTGGCCTTTAAGTCACCTTTTGTAAGTATTCTTAACCTAAGAGTGTTTTTGTGTGGCAGCAAAATGCTATTGGGACTTGCAGCACGCTACACTTGATATTTTAATTCTTCTTTTAAGCCTAAAGTGTTTATGTGTTAGTGCAGTGCTTGTTAAAACAGTCCAGTTATAAGCAGAAGTTCAAAACCATGTGGTAGCAGCAAGAGTGGTATTTATATACAGTAGAAAAAGTGAATATTATTTTTGATATTCTTTTAGCTAAGAAGTGCACACATTTTGTCTGAATTTGGTGTGAAAACTACTGGTAATATAAATTGTGAAATAGTGACAATGGATGGAGCTGGCACATCTGAGCTGTGAATGCAGAGCTCAGTTTGGATCTCTGTGTCTTCAATGTCACTTTGGCTTTTTGAATCAGGTGCTCTTTTGAATGCCTCGTATTTTCTGTTATCCACAGGGAAAATTTGCATTCTGACCTGTGAGGTGCTGTGAAAATGCCAAAGAGAATGTGCCATGTAGCTCTAGAATGGCTCATCCAAGTGGTGAGGGGAAGAACACACTAACCTGTTACTGCCTGTCTAGGTGTCACCGTGGGATAAAAGGGAAGAAGCAAACAAAAAGAAGCTGGAGTTTGCAGTAGGAAACAGTGACTACCTGGCTCTTCTCCAGGCCTATAAGGTGAGTTAAAACTCAGTAGCCTCTCTTGGGGTTTTGTGATGTGTCTGATATCCAAGCAGAAATATTTTATTAAAGGCTTCCTCCCATCCTCTCAATCAGGGATGGCGTTTAAGTATCAAAGAGGGCTCTCAAGCAAGCTACAACTACTGCAGGGAGAACTTTCTGTCAGGAAGAGTTCTTCAGGTAGGTCAGTGTTTGTGGCCTGGCACAGGGACTGGCAGAATCCCAGTGACAGAAATGGGCCACTGGGGAAGCCTCTCCCTGCTGGGTGTGGCAGCCATCACAGAGCTCTGTGTGTTGCAGGAAATTGCCAGTCTGAAGAGGCAGTTTGCAGAGCTGCTTTCTGACATTGGCTTTGTGAAGGAGGGATTGAGAGCCAGGGACATTGAGAAGAGGTGGTCCCAAGGAGGTGATGGCGTGTTGGATGCCACAGGAGAGGAGGTAACTCACAGCATTTCATCCATGCAGTTTTCATGTGGGCTGCCTTCAGAAGGACTGGGGCCAGACATGTCCTGGGGGCGTTCCATGATGATCAGGGTGATCAGGGTTTGGTATTGTAGGATTCCTGTGCTTTGGGACAGATTGTGCTTGCTTTCTCTAGGGTGCAAGCCACTTTGTAGCCACATGTCAGAGAACAATTCAGCTGGGCACCAGGACAGTGGTGGCCAATTTGTTCCATTGATAGTGGGTGAAACACAGCCCAGGTTCAACCTGAGGCTGCAGGAGCAGTGACTCATCCTACTCTATAAAGCACAGGAGTGCAGCAGTAAAAGCAAAGCAGTTTCAGGAATTCAGTCATTCCTGGAGCAGGGTTTTACCTTTACAGACTGAACTGCAGGATCCCTAATGATCCCCTATTGATTTCACAGGCAAATTCCAATGCAGAGAACATCAAGCTGATCTCAGCTATGCTGTGTGCTGCACTGTATCCCAATGTTGTCCAGGTAAAAGAATGCTTTTTCATTTTCCCTTCTTTGGTCTAGCATATCCACACACCCTGCTTTCATTTGGGCTCAGTGTGGCAGCCTTGAGCCTGGCTTAGGTTGCCAAAATTTGCTGCTTATGGTGTCAGAGCTCCAGTTTGTAGTGCCTGACTGTTGCTGTTCCTACAGGCTGATTTCAGTGTCACACAGAAGCCAGCAAGAAATGTGAATTTACTTAAAATTACACCTTTTTAGAAGGCTGAGGTTACAAAGGAAGTCAGGGTTGGACAGCACGTGTCTCCAGTGACTTGACATGTTGCTACTATAGAATTTCTGATTTTGAAAAATGTAAAACTGGAAGTTAAAAGGCTTTCCGGTGCAGCAGATTTTTATAACCTTTTTTCTTACCATACAGGTGAAAAAGCCAGAGGGTAAATACCAGAAGACCAGTACAGGAGCTGTCAAAATGCAACCAAAAGCAGAAGAGCTGAAGTTTGTGACTAAAAATGATGGTTATGTTCATATTCATCCTTCGTCTGTGAATTATCAGGTCAGGATGCTTTTTTCTGCAAAGCATGCTCTCTTTTTATCAATCACTTTTGCTTGAGTGTTTAAAATTACGGTGAGGATCCCTCTTGATGTTTAAAATAAAAAATCTTAATGATTGAACAGTCCTGTGTTAGGACTGTAAATAATGGTGCATCCCTGAGTTAGGAGTGTGCTCCTGGGCACAGAGTTAAACTGCAGCCAACAGTTGTTGGCAGCTCTTTTGGGTCTCCAGGAGGGTCTGTCAGTGCTGCAGAAGAGGCAGAGCTGGCCCGTGTGGCAGAGGCAGGAAGAGCAGTGTCACTCTGACCGGGCTGCTGTGTCCCTGTCCCAGACCAGGCACTTTGAGAGCCCGTACCTGGTGTACCACGAGAAGATCAAGACGAGCCGCGTGTTCATCCGGGATTGCAGCATGGTGTCCGTGTACCCGCTGGTGCTGCTGGGCGGCGGCCAGGTGCACATGCAGCTGCTCAAGGGCGACTTTGTCATCTCCCTGGACGACGGCTGGATCCGCTTCGTGGCTGCCTCTCACCAGGTGAGGAGGAGGGGCTGTGCTGGGAGAGCTGCAGGGCTGGGCTGCAGCTGAGCCTTACCCCTGTCTCTGCCTTACCGTGTGCCAGGTGGCTGAGCTGGTGAAGGAGCTGCGCTGCGAGCTGGACCAGCTGCTGCAGGATAAAATCAAGAATCCCAGCATGGATTTGTGCATGTGCCCCCGAGGCTCCCGGATCATCGGGATGATTGTCAAGCTTGTGACCACGCAGTGACATCAGAACAGTTTGCTGTAAGGATCACCCATGGCTGCTGCCTGAGAACAGACCAAGTAACATCGGTGTCCTGACGTATTATTGGTCCAAACTGTGGCACTGACCTCTGGAAAAACAAGTTGGCAACTGTACTGTTGAGTTTTGGGTTTTTGTTTGTTGGCTTGTTGAAATTAAGGTGGCTTACACTATATTCTGGGAAAAAGGCAGCTCTTCCAGAAGGAATAGAAACCTGAGTGTTTTTTATGGGACTGTGCCCTAGTAGTAGAGCAGTGTTTTCTGGTCACACAAACACCTGCTAGCCAGCTGTTTCTTGTAATAGTCACAGCTGGAGGCAGCATGTGGCATAGGGAGCTGCTCCCAAATTGGTTTAAACTCACTTCTGGCATTTAGACTTAACTGAGGCAGTTTTGGCTGACCAGGAATCCTGTTTACAGTTCAACCCAAAGGCCTTGTACAAGTGAGCACCTTTAGATTTGCATTGAGATCTGCAATTCAGACAATGTCTGTGGTAAGGAGATGTACTGGATCAGTCAGTGTGGCTTTGGATCAGTGCAGGTTGCTCTGGTGACAAGATTAAACTCCAAGACAGTGTGGACATTTTCCCTGAAAAGAGGCTGTTCCAGCCCTTCCTGCACTGGGAATAAGTAAAACAGCTGAGATGGGACTGCTGTAGTGCATTAATATGAATTCTTGGCAGATGCCATTGTTAATTGCTGACATGTTCTGGGATGGGGTATCCTCCTGCCACCCTGCACAGCTGGAATGAAGTCCCACTTTTGGAAGCTTTTAACCAAACTCCTGCTCTGAGGAGTGGGCTGCTGTAGCAATAATGAATTATTTCCTCCCTTTGGCCTTGCTTTTAATTGCAGTGCTGAGCATTGCTGCAGCCAAGCTGCTCAAATACCAAATGCTTTAAGTGACAGGACTGGGCTGTCACCTTTGTGTCACCAGAGCCAACACTGCCTCCAGCACCAGTCTGATCTACAACCTTCAGCCTGAGGCATGATGAGTGGAGGGAGGGACATTGTTAGGAGTTTGGTTTCTTAAAAAATACACGACTTGTTTGTAGGAGTTTCACACTAACACAGGCTCCTGTGAGGAAGATGGCAGCAGTATCAAGCCCAACATGGCCACTGCAGCTCTGCTGGGATGGATGAGCCCCAGCTGCCTCCACTCCCTTTTCTTTCCCACCTCCATGAGCTGGCATTGGGAGGAGGGAGAAGCATGGCATGTGAGAAATTCACACACTGAGACAGTTTAATAAAACAAAAGCAAAAGAATTTATTTCCCACTTCCCTTGGGCAGGCAGGTGTGCAGCCACTCCAGCAAAACAGCATGCTGTCCCCTTCCCACCATTCCTAAAATTACCCAATACTGCAAAATTTCCCTGCTATTCTGGTAACAGCCATTATCAACTGCAAAGATAAAGCAAATTGGCAAAAGTGCTGAACTATTTTATTAATTCAGTACCCTATGCCTGGTGAGATGGGGTCAGTCTGGTTTCCCACAGCAACCACAGATCAGCACAGCAGCAAGGCCTTCCCTGGGTACACTTCACTGCCAGGATGGAACCAGGCAGACACGAGGACCTGGAGCTCTCCATTCCCCACAGATCCTCCTGCTTGAACACAACCTGCAGGTTGTGCTTAGGACCTGTGATCTCCACACAACCCCTCAAACTTCCTAAAAAAGGCATACAGACATAGGCAAATAGTATACAAACAACAGACTGGTACCTTTTCCCCCAGCTGGTGCTGCCTGTCCCAACCTGGCTGCTGTTTTTCACCCCAGGGGCACACACTGCCTGCTTCCCCATCCCAACTGTGAACAGCAGGCTTTTCACAACTGATTTTCTTAGTTAGAAATGCAGTTTATTTCAATGCACCAATAATAAAAAAAAAAAGCCCAACATTTTCAGATCACAGAACACAAACACAACAGAAGAGTTTTGTATTAGTCTGCTAACAAGACTTTTAGAAGATAGAGGTTCATGCCAATTGCTAGTCAATAGAAACAGCCTTCTAGGACTAAGCCCTTGCATCACAATATCCCTTATAATGTAAACAAAATAACTTTTTTACTAAACTTCTTAAATTTGAACCCATTCTTTTAGGGCTTCCATTCCTTCAAGGGCTTCCTGATGGTGAGTGACTGAAAGGAAAAAAAGACAACAAACCATTAAGAACAACTCCTACAGCAAAACCAACAGAAACTGTGCATGCCACCCCCGGCTTCCTCTGGACTTCTGCCCCTATTTTCATTTACAGTTCTCAAATAATAAAAGAAGTGTTGTATTTTACACTCTAAAACTGCTTTAAGCTTGAAAGCTGAAGACTAATTAAGAGAGTTGAGACATCAAGCCTGCTCAGAAATCTCAATTCCAGCACATACTTCGCTCTGGTAACACAGGAAAACATTTTCCTTTGTGGAGCACATTAATGGGCAAGGATAAAAGCCCAAAGCCAAAACTGCAACTCCTGGGCCTGCAGGAGTCACCAGCAGGAATTTAATCCCACACCACTTCATTGGCTTGCTCCACACCTTACATTACTCACTTGTTCCCTAGATTCTAAATTCCTCAGAAACATTTCATTAGAGGTTTCCTTAGCAGCAGCATTCTTATTGCTTAGCTGTGTCATGACATTCTGACTGCCAGCAGCAGGAAATGCCCATGAACAATTCATCTTCTCATAGTTCAGATTTAGGCAAGTAAAAATCCCGAGCTTTTATACTTGTCCAATTTCTCTAGGAACTGCTCCAGCTCAAGTGCTACTGAACCCCAGGACAGACTCCAGTTTTAAGACATTCCTACCTTCTCTTTGGAGATGGTGATCTGGACTTTGAGCGGCTGTTTAAAAACAAACAGACAGACCAGTCAGTGTGGTTGGCACACCTGGGTGCTCTCAGTACCCACTTCTGACCATTTTACACCAGAACAATTTGGTGTTGTTAAATGCACTGACACTGCTGGTATCAAGTGTACCCAGGTACTTTAAGCAAGAAGCTGCAGGTGAGAAGGAAAAATGCTGGAAGCTGGAGCCCTCAGGAAAAGAGCAACACACAGCTCCAAAGCTGCTGTAATCACAGTGACCCTGCAAAGCAGGAGCAGTGAATCGAGCAGAGTTAGGGACAGGGAGAACTACAGACACTTAATTAAGAACAAAGGTAGGAGAAAACATGCCCCAAATCCTGCAAAAGTATTTTTTGTAATAATGAGTGTATAACATCTGTATGCAAAATCCTGGAAGAATTGCCTACTGTCCCACAAAAAAATCAGCTGTTAAAAAAAACCCATAATGTATGAAAAATGCTTTTGAAATCAGTTATAAAAGTAAAAAAAACAACCCTGCAACTGAAATACCAGTCCAAACAGAGATTTTGAATCATGAGAGAAAGAACAACCCCACAAAAAACCCCACCAACCAAACCAAAAACCAACTGAGTGGTACTTGTATTTGAACGCTCACCTTTTAGCAGGTAAGCCAGATTTAGATCTACCATGAGACTCAGACCTACAACAGGAGAAAAATAAAGCTCAGCAAAGCAGCCAGTGGGCATGCAACACACGGAGAGTTAGCTACACCAGCAACAGCAAATTCGCCCCAGGCAGTAGCACCAGGCACAGGGAAGGCTCTGCTGCTGCAGGCCCTCCCCAGGACCTTCCAGGGGCTCCCACTGCACAGACCCCACTCATCACAAGGCAGAGTGCAAGCACAGGAAGCTCCCCAGCAAAGCTTCAGCTGCCAGCTCCACAAAACACCAGAGCAGACTCCCACACCTCCTTCCTACCTGCAAGTATCCCTTCTAGAAAGGCAAGAATAGTTTCAAGGATCATCTTAGAAAGTATTTTAACAGCACATTAAGAGCCTGGAATCAGCCACAAGTAAGTGTGTGTGCTGATGGGCTGGTGCATTCTACAGCTCAAGTTCCCAATGCCAATTTTATTCAGCATAATAGAGATTTTGCACCAATATCTGGCTACTAATGAGTAAACTATTCCCAGTTTATCTCAGGAATTAAAATCCTCCCACATTTATTATGTTACTTTATCAACTCAAATATTTGTTTACTTAAAAAATGTCTTGCTAGAGTGTCAGAATTCAAGCTATCGCTTTGGTATCAGAATGCAACATGCTTGGCAAAAAAAGCAGAATACTTTTGCTCTATTTCTGCTCAGAACTGTATTTGAAGGGTAATCAATATTCACCTTTACCTGGCCTGTTAACTCACAAAAATACTACAAGGACACTGCTGGCACCTGTTAAACAAAACATTACGTGCCCCTGCTGTGAAACCTTCCTGGTCTCTATCCTGAGCCACTGTCTGGTAACAAGCAACTTCCTACTGGGTCAGTTACTGAGGATGGGAATGCTCACAAGCACCCAGAACTGGTACTCAGCAGCATGAGCATCTCTTCCACTGCTAAGGCAGCACAGCACACAAAACCATCCTCAATTTACTACATACCTAAGAATTAACTTTTTAAAAAAAATTCTCTCCACAGACCTTAAATTCTCTCCACAGACCTTAAATTGTACACCACTACTTTTGCCTGTGAAAAGGCATAAATTATTGAGTGCAAATATTGCTCTGCTGGACAGCCTGCTAAGTGCTTCCAGACAAATTCCCCCAGGGAAGGAAAAAAAAATTAACAAAACGACAAAAAATAAGAAACAACACACCATCACAACCAAACAACACACCAAATCCATCACTGGTTTGAATCAAAACGAGTGTCTCACCTGCTTCGAGGCCATACAACAGACCGGGACCTGGAGCGTGACCTGGACCTAGACCTGGAAAGAAAACAAAGGAAGCTCTAGTCCCACATGCTTCATACAGGTGAGACAGAAACCAGGTACTGTAAATGTCCCAGAAGACTGAGAACTTTGTTGATCTGTTGGTTTTACAGAAGTAATTGTTATTATTAGAAGGCTGTAGCATCTTTGGTCAGTACTGCCATGCAGTTAAAATGAGCTCCACTGTCTTACTGGACTAAGCAATTACACCCTGTACACTTGTAGGTGAATTTGGAAACCTTAACCACAGAGCGAGGCAGTAACTTTGGTAAAATGTTAAAAAGAAAAAAGTAACATCTCAGAAAGAGCAGTTCCAAAATTATATGCTTAAATTTTAAACAAAGTATTCAGAATAGCTCGTTTGCATGTAACACCACAAAAGTTCCTATCAACACATGAACTGAAAAACACACTTACTGATTATGATTACATTATAAATCCTATAAATTTATATCTAGATACTTGATATTTCAGCTCCACATTTATGTGCCCCTCAACAATGCTGTGGGTTTAACAGCAACCACATACCTTGACCTTCTTAAAGAACCAGAACGGGACCTGCGGGGGGAGAAGGATCTGTATCTGCGAGGAGACATCGACCGGGACCGGCGGTAGGAAGCTGACCTGGATCTGCGAAACAAAGCAAACACCAAGCCATCACTGCAAGGGACTTTTCACAACAAATACAGAAAAGGAAGGAAGGACTCACAGAGGAAAGAGGGAATGAAAACACAGAAGGCAGAGCCCTACCTCCTACCACGGCTGCGGCTGCGTGACCGGGAATACCTTCTCCCTCGGGACCTCGAGCGCGATCTAGAGCGGGACCTGGGTTTAGGTTAGAAAAAACAGGTATCAGCAGACAGCTGCAGCAACCCACACGTGTGAGGCCCTGCTGAAGTCAAAACTTTTTTTCAGACAACTAAAAAGAGGATTTAAAAATAAATCAAAAAAAGAAAAACCAAAAACCAAACCAAACAAAACAACAAAAACACACCACTAGCATCTGTCAGTTGGAAAAATGTCTGGGCCTACTTGTCTTGAGCATTTTTACTACCTAGAAAAATGTTAAAAGCTGAATTACATTGCAGAATTACATTAGAATAGAAAACACTGTAATGCGTATTTAAAATAAACCTTGCAAGTTTGCAGGTCGACCCTCTTTGGCCCAAGGTCTAGCAGATCTAGACGATCTAGAAGTATCTATAGGCGAGCGCTGCATCTAGGTAGGTGTTCTCTTCAATCTAACGACGATCAAACTGACAGCCCAATGAGCCAGGGTGAGGCTTGATTGACGCAAGAAGATTTTTCTAGGTGGGAATGTGGTCAATCTGGTGTTCCTCTTTCTAAACCGGAGGGGGGCCCCAATTGAAAGCCAAATTTACTGTTACGGCGGTCACCGTCTCAAATTTTCTGCCCTTAAAGAATAAGGTGAAGCTACGTGTAGATGGCTCGAGGGGATCTGGCCTCTTATGCTGATCACCTCAAGGTCTAGGAGGATCTTAAGTGTCGGATTTGCAAGGCGCCTCAGCATGAAATCTTAAGGCTCGTGACATTCTGAATCAAGGCGACTGACTCAAACGAAGAAACCTGAAAGGTTTTGACCAGGTTGATTATTAAAATAGTAACATTTTATATGTATTAGCAAAAAAAAAAAATCGTGATATACACCTGTTGACTTACGACAGTTAGAGTTAAAACTGGTGTAACATTGTGTTCTTTGCTAACAAGAACTACACAAAAGCGAGCTGGCGAAGCAACGCGGCCGCCCCGGGCCCGCACGTACCTGCTCCTCCTTCGCCGGCTATAGCGGTGACAGTCATAGGCATAGTGGCCTTTCTCACCACACTCGTAGCATCTGTCGTTGGGGTCGAAGGGGCGCCGGGCGGGGGGCCGGTCGTAGCGGGAGCGGCGCGGCATCCCCGTGGATACTTCCACTCTGACCCTGGAGCCGCATATTATCCTGCAAGACACAGCAGATATTAACGAAAGGAATATTTTCCTCTGACGCGCTCAAGCAACGAGCATGAGAAATCCCCGATTAGTGTGGCATAGGGAGATCGAGGGCTGCGGCCCTCAAAGGAGTTCCAGACAAGCACGTACTTCCCATCGAGGCCAAGCACAGCATCTTCGGCATCCCGGGGGTCTTCGAACTCCACGAAGGCGAACCCCGGCGGGTTCCTGGCGATCCACACGGTTCTCAGCGGTCCATAGTAGCTGAAGGCTCTCTCCAGCTCGCCTTTGCCGGCGCCCGTGCCCAGGTTGCCCACGTACACCTTGGTCTCTGAGGGGACAAGCGGCCGCCATGTCAGTGCCGCGCGCGGCGCCGGGCACGCGGCCGCCCCTCCCCCGCTCCCTCCCTGCCGCCATCTTTGACGCCGCGTCCATCTTAGAGCGCTCCCGCCGGGCCGCGCCCGCCTCGCACAGACCCCGCGGCCGCGGCGGCCGCCCCCAGCCTACCCCGGCCCTCCGCCATCGTCCCTCTCCGCGGCCGCCTGAGGGAACGATCACCTTCTCCCACCGCCGGAGAGGCACGAACGCCGCCGCTCCCGCCACCTTTCCCCTCGCCCCCCTGCCCACAGTGGAAGCCCAGACACGATTCTGAGGCGCCCCAGGGTCCCCGCCGTGCCCACCGTATCGCCCGTATCGCGACATCCTCCCGATGACAGCGCGAGCCCGGGCAGGCGCGACCCTTATATAGAGGAACCGCCGCTGCGCCTGCGCGCCGCGCGGGGGGCGGGGCGGGGCGGGGCGTACCTCGGCGCGCGCGGGCCTCGCGAGAGGCGGTTCGCGCGCGGCGGCCACGGCGGCCCCGCGGGGCCGTGAGGGGCCACGGGCTGCCCCCGCTCCTCCCGGGCACACGCTCGACCCCGGCAGCCCCAGTGAGAGCTCCTGTCTGGCTCTGAGGGGGCAGACTGGTGGGGAACCACTTGTTGCGTTTTGCACCCCTCGTGCGTGACCCATCATGGCTGCTGCCTGTGCTGAGGGTGAAGGAGCTGACGCCATGGTCCTTATTCCACGGCCAGGAGCGGTGCCCTCCTTGGAACAAGGCATCCCCAAGTTGCTCCAAATCTCTCTCACACCTTGGGTCCCTCCCAAGCAGCCTTGGGAGGTTGGGCCCTGGTTTATCCCCTTGTATCTGACATGCAGCTGGAGCTGTTGTATGTTGGCATCTCCCAACCTTTCCAGGGAGACACACACAGTAATGGATGGCCAGCAGACATTTTTTGATAAAAAATCAACACAAACCTGACAGATGAAAAGTAATTCTAGGTAAATCCCAGCACCATTGAGGAGAGTCTTTTAGGAATAAGGCTTAGGCCGACTTCCCAGCTGTATTTGAGCATACCAATGTGCTTATCTCCTAATAAAGCAGAACAAATACACTGAGATAAATAAGGGCTCTAATGTTCCTCAGTGCATTAATAATCTCAGGAATAATCACATAATGATTCCTGCATCATGTGTTGGCATAAACTAGAAACAGAGCATTAAAAACCACAAACTTACTGTATTGCAACACATTTTCCTTCTACAGAACACAGGCTTTCCAAGCACTGCTGTTCTAATATCACAAATATAGACAGGTAATGGTTTTAAAACCTGCTATTTGCCTGCTAACCTTCCCTAATAATTCTACAAACCTGGACATACATTGTAGTTTACGTTCTAAACTAGGAGAACAGTAATGGGAAAAACAACCAACCAACCAGCCAGGAAAACAAAAGAAAACATTTTTCTGAATATTTTTTAAGTTGGTTTGGGAAGTCTAGGCGTCATAATTCTCTTTCTTAAAGAGAAAAAGGAAAGAACCTGGTAAGCAGTTCAAATAAACATGCCTTCAGCACTAGATAATTAAACTAGTTTTAAAGGGAAAACATTTAACATTTAAATACATTTAAAGGGAAAAGTTTAAATGTGTGATATATCATCTTTTACAATACTGTTACAAAAACTCTGAACTGACAAACTGACAAATCAGTTTAATACATCAGCATTATCCAACAGTTTGCTTCTAATAAAAGTAGCACATGAAAAAATGCTTGTGCTTTGAGTTTATTCTTTATTATTCCTTCCTTTGCATACAAAAAAATCATGACGAAAGTACCCAAAACGCAGCATTTCTGCAAACAGTGAATATTGACACCCAGGAGAGCTCCTAAAAGAGGTGGGTTCCTAAACCAGGAGAGCTCCTGGAGATGAAAGGTGACAGGAGCAGCCCTGGCTCAGCGCTGCTGTTGCAGGAAGCCCTGCAGCAGGCCCTGCACGCGGGCCAGGATGATCTCGTTGGTGCTGCTGCACTGCTCGGGGCCGTACGGGGGCTCGATGCTCAGCACCCCCGCCACGCTCAGCGTCCTGCCCAGCTCGCCCTGCTCGCCCACGGGGATGTGGTTGCTCTCCAGCCACGTCTTCAAGGCGATCTTCCTCCTCTCCAGCTCCTCGGCGCTGTAGGCTTGGCTTTCCTCGGGCGCGAGGATGCGGGCGAGGCGCTGCTCCATGTCACTGTCCCCTTCCTGCAGGATCTCCACCTCCTGGACAGCGTGGCCCATAATGAACGATATAGATCCTTTCTCGTTCTCTGTGAATGTTGCGAGGACAATGCTGTCAAGGAAAGAAGATTGTGTAAGCTCCTGTTCTTGAGTGAAGACTGAGAAGCAGCCTCCAAGGTTTTGGAGATAAGAGCTCATTAGCATCAGCCTAGGCCAGGTATTTAAGCAATACCCAGTGCCCAGCATTTTCCTTAGAAAAGCATACTGCTAATACCCTTAAAATACTAAAAATGTGGGGCTCTGCAGGGAATTGCTGGTCTTGAATTTGAAACTACTCTAGACATTATCAAGCAGAATATTAATGTACACTTTTCTTCAGAAAAAATAAAGTCTGGAAATCTAAATATTTTTGTGCAGCTTTCCAACACTGCTACAGAACCTAAAACAATTCAACAATCAGAAACAGTGATACCTTCATACATACAGCACTTTGAATGCTGAAGGCAGCTGACAACACCAGAACCTTTTAATGAAGAAAGTCATATTTATTGATCATTGCCAAAATAATATTTTTTTAATGACTGTTGCCAATTTATGAAATGAAAATACAACAGAACACACTACAGAAGGCTCAGGCTCACATTGTAGAAGCCTGGTGTTATCCCAAGGGCACTTGCATCCCAGAAGTCCTAAAATGCAAGTAGGAAGGCAGCTGGTTATATTTCTAGGACCACTCCCTCATATATCAACAAAGAGCATTAGAAACCATTTTCTTCCTCTTGTGGGAAGCAAAATTCCAGAACTTGGTGCCAGCACTTCACTAGCCTATTACTGCTACCATTAGTGGAAGTAATGACTTTTTGAGGGGGATGTATCCAGTGAGATATGCCTTGATTTCAGCCTGGACCATCACCAGAATCACTCACAGCTCCATGCCCTTCCTTACCAAAATGATAGGAAACTTCAGGAGATTACTGGAGCTACTTCAGAGCTGAAACAGCAACCAGTTCTTCTAAAACACTTCAGAAGCTGAATGTTTTAGTTTTCAGCCTCCAGCCTGTGTTCATGTGGGACAAGCTCACATCCAATAAGGTATGAAAGAGCTCTGGCAGCAAGGAGACAAATTTCTGCCCATTCCCTGGTGCATTTTGCCTTTCAAACCCTGTTTTCAAGTTACTCACTTGGGATACCAGAGATGTGTGGTACTTTCTGTCCAGTGCCCCTGATTTTCCCTGCTTGCTCTCCAAAAAAGCCTCAACACCTTCCTGCGTGTCTGGCTGGAGTGGAAAGCCAGGCATCAATGCAAGAACTCTGGACAAAGGCTAAGGATTTCAACATCTAAAGCACTGAAAACACTCCAACACTCTTCATGAAACAGGGTCTAGTATATTACCAAAAACAATCTTTAACACGTGGATTGTTGAGAGGTAATAGTATAGCTTATATATAAGTTTTAAATTAGAGTAAGTCACTTGGAATTATAATACTGTGTGATTTAATATGCTGTTCACTTAGCTTTACTTGGTTAGCATGAGTAGCTGGGTTTGCTGGAGCCTTGGCTGCAAGCTCTGAACTTTCACCTTGAACATGCATGGTAGAGAGCTGATTTTTGAGCAATTCTCCTAGAAGCTGGCACAGTGGTGAGTTTTGAATTTACAGGGAGAATAACATTCCTAGCACACTGATATTTTAGTTGTTGCTAAGCAGTGCTTATTCTAAATCAAGGGCTTTTTAGTTTCCCATACTCAGTCAGAGATGAGGTGTGCAGGAGTACAAACCAGAAAGAGGCTGCAGCCATCAGCAGAAACTGCAGGTTAACAACATGCCATTTTTGCTCCAAATAAGTTTGCTTCAGCCTTGGAATCTTTTCTCCTTCTAAAAAATCTTGCTTTACATAAAAGCTTTGGTACTTACGTGGCAGAAACTGGGTCAACTGTTAAAACCCATCCTTCATATTCATGTTTCTCAACTGCAACAACTTTCACCAATTTGTTCACATATGTTTCCCAGTCTAGAGGGCTTTTTCTCTGCCAGTCATTCATACTTCCTACATCCAGGACCTAGAAAACAACCAGATCAGCCAGGAGATGCAGTCAATCTTTTTGGTTTGCTCTTTGTGAAAAACGGCAATCACTTGTTTTTAAAATTTTAAAAGTTTAATAGAAATAAAATGGTTATAAAAATAGCAATATAATTAGAGTAATAAAATTTTTGAACTATTTGGATTAGGACAATATAAGACAATAGAAACAAAAGAGTTATGGAGGTCCAGGTACCTTTTCTGGGTAGCATAAGCCCGGAAAAAGGACACATGTTAACAGAGGATTAACCCTTAAAAACAATAGCCTGTTGCATATTCATACACCTCATACATTATGCATAAATTCCATTCAAACAAAGGATTCTCTCTGGCCTCATCAACTTCTTCCTCTTAATTCTACCAGCATCTTCATAGATGAACGAGGCAGGAAGAATTTCGTTTTTTCTGATAATGGGGCAATAAATTCTCTTTCTCTGAAAGATTTAGGTGTCCTGTGGCTGCTGTCTCGGTGCGACTCCTTTCCTTAGAAAAAAAGTATCCTACATAGCATAGTTTCTTTTTTAACCTTATGTTATAACCTAAAACTATATTTAACACACTACTTAAGAAAATTAATACAGCATAACTTTCTAACATAACACATATTCATTTTAATATTTGCGAAAAGCCAATCATAAAATACGCATTTTTCACACTCTTCACGTCAGGACTGGGTTTGCCTCCATGTAAAGCTTTGTCTTTAAAAAAAAAAAGGCAAATTTTGCTTTTTTTTTAGAAACAGACATTCACACAAGTGGTTTGTATAAAGCTGCACTTCCGTAATTCCCCATGGAGTCCGCTTGTTTTTAAAGGCACACAGCAAAGCCTCAAAGCCCACTGTTCTGGTAACCTTAAGCTTTCCCGTTGCATCCAACACTCCATCTATTTGCTCTGCTTTGTTACAAAACCTTGGAGGTGAGAGTTCAGCGCTTTGTTTCGTGCACTGGCGCACCCCTGGTGCCCGAGCCGTTCCACCACCTTGGACAAGCGCTATCCTACCCTCTGCTCCTGATCCCCTGCCCTGGAGCACCAGCGAGCGCTGTTCCACCCCTGTCCCCCCCTGCAGCATTCCCAGCCCAGCAACCCCCCCGAGCGGGGCCGCAGCGCGGCTCGGGCAGCACAAAGGCCTGGAGGGCGCTTTGTTCCCCGGGAATGCCTTCCCGGCAGGAAGAGCCCCGCTCCCCATCCCGCTTTCCCGCTCACCGGCCCCAGTTCCCGTTCCCGTTCCCGCCGAGGACTCCCGGGAGCTGCCCCGGGCGGCACCGCCGCTTCCTGGCGCCGCCGCCGCCGCCTTCCCCCGGCCCGGGTTAGCACCAAACGCTGCCTTGAGGGGTTTCACAGCTGCGGGGGGCACACAAATGACACACAAGCTTGCACGCATCAGGCCGGGTCGCAAAACAAGGAGCCCGGGGGCGTGTGGCCCTTCAATGCCGCTGCCTTCTGCCCCTCTGGAGCTGGATTTGTTCCTGGGATGCTCCTGCTGGCGCGGGGAGATTGCAGCCTGCACATGCCAGGCCGTGCCTCGTCCGTGTGCGTTAATAGGGGGTAGATGCACGCTCTGTGCATCTGCTACATAAAAATAAGGTATTTTTGCTGCCTGATTAATGGGTTGCTTTTAGCAGGCTTTGCCGTGCCGCCGTGAAGGTGGGAAGCTTGATTCCAACACCCACCCCACGCCTGCAGTATTTCAGCAGCACTCAGGCAGAGCTTCCTGGGGATGAACCAAGTCACTGATTCTGTGATTTGTCAGGAATTTGTGAACGCAAACATGCAATGGTTTTGTGAGTGCTAACACAAAATAATATAAAGGGTGTAAAATGAGACAGTCATATTTTGGAAGCTTAAAGGAGCTATTTCCTTTTTTTCTTTCTTTTTGGAGCTCTCAATTCAGCCTCTCCAGTACTACAGCGATTGTGTATGAATGGCTTGGGCCACTGCATTCAGCTACTGCTTTCTTTCAGCCACAGCTCGTTTATTAGAAAGCAGGGAGAACAAATCTAATAGTTTTTACTCTAAGAATAAGCACTGGCCTGCACTCCAGCGGCGGCTACGCATCAGCTGATGGGGATATCACCTCCAATACTGGATGCGTCCAAGGATTGCTCCCACCCAGGAGATGCCAGGACAGAAAGGCCCCGCTGGCTTTACTTCCATCGGGCAGATGGTCACCTGCAGCACCAGCAGCACGACGGAGAATCGACCTTCCCAGGACAAGGCTCTCCCGCTCACGCCTCCAATTCCTATTTCAGGCCCCAAGTCCCATTCGAAGCCCGCCCCTGGCGCATGCGCGCCTCCGCGCAGCGCGGGGGAGGCGGGGGAGCAGGCCAGGGGGCAGGCGCGTGCGGCGGCGCGTGCGCGCGGGCGGCGGAGCCGTCGGGATGTCGCGTTACGGCCGCTATGGAGGCGGTGAGAGCTCGCGGGGGCTGCGGGGGGCGGGCGGCTGCGCGGGCGGGAAGGCGAGACGTGTCTGAGAGAGAGGCGATTGCCGCGGGGAGCTTAAGGACTGGCGGGCGCCGGTGGGGAGGGGAGGAAGGCGATGCGGCCGCCGCCGCCGCCGTTGTCGCCGCCGCCATTTTGCGTCAGCGGCCGTGGGGGAGGACGCGCGGCGGGGCGCGCGGCGCTCGCGGTGAAGGCGGGAAGCGGCCGCGCGGACAAGATGGCGGCGGCCGGGGGAGGGCGGGGCGGGGGCTGAGCCCGAGTCCGCTCCCGGCCCCGCGCTGAGCCCCGGCCCGCTTGTCCCCGCAGAGACCAAGGTGTACGTGGGCAACCTGGGCACGGGCGCCGGCAAAGGCGAGCTGGAGAGAGCCTTCAGCTATTACGGACCGCTGAGAACCGTGTGGATCGCCAGGAACCCGCCGGGGTTCGCCTTCGTGGAGTTCGAAGACCCCCGGGATGCCGAAGATGCTGTCCGTGGACTGGACGGGAAGTACGTGTCCATTCCGCCTGTTTGCCGAGGCTACGGAGAGAGAAGCGGGGTTTATCTCGCTGGTCCCTGTGTTTCTGTAGTTCTGTCATGGACTGAAAGGTTTAACCCAGACCCTTCGTGGACTCGTTGCAGGGTGATCTGCGGCTCCAGGGTCAGAGTGGAAGTATCCACGGGGATGCCGCGCCGCTCCCGCTACGACCGGCCCCCCGCCCGGCGCCCCTTCGACCCCAACGACAGATGCTACGAGTGTGGTGAGAAAGGCCACTATGCCTATGACTGTCACCGCTATAGCCGGCGAAGGAGGAGCAGGTACGTGCGGGCCTGGGGCGGCCGCGTTGCTTCGCCAGCTCGCTTTTGTGTAGTTCTTGTTAGCAAAGAACACAATGTTACACCAGTTTTCTTTAAACTTTAACGCTAGAATAAATGTATAGGTGTATATTACAATTTGTTGCTATTTCTATCAAATGTTACTATTTTAATAATCAACCTGGTCAAAACCTTTCAGGTTTCTTCGTTTGAGTCAGTCGCCTTGATTCAGAATGTCACGAGCCTTAAGATTTCATGCTGAGGCGCCTTGCAAATCCGACACTTAAGATCCTCCTAGACCTTGAGGTGATCAGCATAAGAGGCCAGATCCCCTCGAGCCATCTACACGTAGCTTCACCTTATTCTTTAAGGGCAGAAAATTTGAGACGGTGACCGCCGTAACAGTAAATTTGGCTTTCAATTGGGGCCCCCCTCCGGTTTAGAAAGAGGAACACCAGATTGACCACATTCCCACCTAGAAAAATCTTCTTGCGTCAATCAAGCCTCACCCTGGCTCATTGGGCTGTCAGTTTGATCGTCGTTAGATTGAAGAGAACACCTACCTAGATGCAGCGCTCGCCTATAGATACTTCTAGATCGTCTAGATCTGCTAGACCTTGGGCCAAAGAGGGTCGACCTGCAAACTTGCAAGGTTTATTTTAAATACGCATTACAGTGTTTTCTATTCTAATGTAATTCTGCAATGTAATTCAGCTTTTAACATTTTTCTAGGTAGTAAAAATGCTCAAGACAAGTAGGCCCAGACATTTTTCCAGCTGACAGATGCTAGTTCTTTAGTTGTCTGAAAAAAGTTTTGACTTCAGCAGGGCCTCACACGTGTGGGTTGCTGCAGCTGTCTGCTGATACCTGTTTTTTCTAACCTAAACCCAGGTCCCGCTCTAGATCGCGCTCGAGGTCCCGAGGGAGAAGGTATTCCCGGTCACGCAGCCGCAGCCGTGGTAGGAGGTGTGTTTGAGTTTGTCTTTTACTCCTGTTGCCTTCTTTTGCCTAGAAAAAGCTGCACATGTACGACTCTTGGAATTGCTTTCTGTGCAGGTCCAGGTCAGCTTCCTATCGCAGGTCCAGGTCCGTGTCTCCTCGTAGGTCTAGGTCTGTGTCTCCCCGCCGGTCCCGGTCGGGTTCCTTGAAGAGATCAAGGTAATTAGTACTGATTTTTACTGTGTGATTTATTTTTATTGGTGTTTTCTTGTTTTAATTAGATTCCAAAAGGTATTGTATAGCAGGTTGCAAAAGATGCTGTGACCTGTAGAAGTCAGCATGCTTTTAAAAGTTTCTGATAATCCTAGTTAAATTCACAGGAGTGCTAATGAGTTTTGAGACCTTACCCTGAGACAGTGGCATCTACCTCGATTGAATTTCTTTGGCTAAAATGTCTAATGGTCATGTAGGTCTGTGATCATGTAGGTCTTAATTTCACATGTACGTACTAATTTATATAGTACTGTAATTGTCATCACTTCTTCTTGAGTTTATTTATTTTTAATTTATCTCAATTTTTAATTTCAGGTCTAGATCAAGATCCAGATCTAGATCCAGATCTGTTACATGGCCCCGAAGCAGGTATGTGACTATGGGTAGTTGGCAAAACTTGTTTAGAAGTCTCATTAGGCTCTCTAACAATTGTTAAGGTTTTTTTCCAGGAAAAAATGTGTTTTCCCTTCACTAACCTAGAGGTCTGTAGTTTTAAAAAGCAGTGCAGAAGATTGTTCTCTCTCTTTTTATTCTTTTGCACACCACTAGGTCACCATAGTCATCAGAAATACTGATTTGATCGGGTTGCATTAACAGCTAACAAATGTAGAATTAATATCAAAAGTTTCTGTGTGTACCACACACAGGATTGGGATTCTTCCCACTATTTTTCTGAGAAAGCAGGATGCCCCTTTAGTAGTGTGTTAATTTTTTATTGTCTGCAGCCAGGCAGGTCTGGAAGGGCTTGCTGATGTAGTGTTACAGCTGCAATTCCAGCTCTGTTGAATATCAGTGTCAATCTGCAGGAGCTGATTTTTATTTGAGATAAACACCTGTCAGAATTATTTTGTACCAATTAAATGTGTCACAAGAGTAACAGTCAGGTTCTAAAGGAACACAGGATGTTATTTGTTCCCTTAAACTTTACTTGATAGTAAGAGCAGCCTGTGCTTCATGGAGCCTTGTCCTGGCAGCAGGGCTGACTGGGTGTCCTCGACAAGAACAAGAGTAAATGGAAATTCTGCTCTGGATATGGAATTGCTGATGGCCCAGCCTATCCCTGTGCCTGCTGTCCTGGTTTTAATGGCTGCTCTTGGAAACAAGGAACAGTCAACCATAAAGAAACACAGGGAAATAGAGGATGGCTTCAAATAAAGGGAGCAGGTGGAAAAGCCCACAGCTGAAGGTGGCATTTTCTGAGGATGGACAGCAAGCAGTGATGGGATTTTTAAGGGAAAGGAGAGATGAAGACCAGATCATCATGGCTTAGTTAAGAGCAGAAACTCACACAGGTAGTCCAGAATCTGGACTAAAGAGAGAAGAAGGTTGCCCAAGGCAGTAGTGCAGTGCTTTTCTCTGGCTGGGTACACCTGTGGCTAAACCATGTTGAATCTTAGTACTGTTCTTCCAATATGACTTAATCATGGCTCACCTCTGTTCACTGTCAGTGATGAGCCAGAAACAGCCACAGTCAGCAGACTCTCTAAGAGGAAAACATCTTGATTTTAGCACCATTATTTTCTCTTTCTGGTACCATGCTGGATTTCTGCAGGGTTAAGGATACTTGTAGTGACACTTCTGGACTGTTGTGTGACACTTGTAAGTAGGGATTAAGTGACTGAGACATAGGAAGTTACAGATGTACAACCAGCCAGAAGTGGCAGAAGAATTGTGCTTATGTAATTGAAGGATTATTTCTTTACAGAAAAGCCCAGGGAATGCATTGCACCCAGATACAGGCTCTGGGTTCATAAGGGAGACTGACTGAATGAGTACATGGCATTTGTTGGTTTGACAGTGTCACAACACACATCTGGAAATTGTTGTGGAAAGCCTTGGATGTGGAATTAGAACACTTGTTGGGGGACCTCAAAATTTCAGTGAGGCTTTCTGGCAGTATTAGTGTTCCTGTGGTGCAGCAGCCTCAAAGGTGTCCACATTTTCCACATTTTTTTCATAAGGATTAAGTTCAAACATTAAAAAAAACACTTGAAGTAAGTGGATATAGAAGATGAAATTCACAGGGAAAATACTTCTAGGAATGAGCTGTCTGCAACTGCAGTGGCAGATGTTGCTCAAGTCTAATAAAACCTGCAAGTTTAGAGCATGGCTTTTTATCAGCTCTGAAAATACTGGTCAGGATTTGAGTTGTTCCTGCCACCTGCATCAGCAAACACTGCTCATCAGCTAGGGACCAAACCAAAGTACAGAGCAACATGTGCAGCATCCATGTAAAAAGACTTCTTTGGAAACTTAGCAGGCAAAACCCTGGAAACTTGCAGGATTCTGTGCACTCAGCATGACAGTGCTCATCCACTGGGTGTGAATCCTGCTGTCCCAAACATGGGAACCTGCATGTTGTGTTTCCCTGCTGAGCTGTGTTTTTTCTTGCAGGTCTAGGTCTCATGGCAGATCAAAGTCTGGCTCGCCAGCTAAGAGGTGAGCACACACACAGAGCCTGCAGTAGCATCTCAAATTTAGGTTTGCATGATTAACAGAGCCTGGTCCTTTAGAAAAATATCCCCCTAACATGGGTCCCAGCTAATCTCTTTGTGATATGACAGAAATTACAGCATTTCCTCTGCAGCTCTTTGCACTGTCTTCCTTACCTGTCTGGGTTTTCATTAACTCTTGGTAGTTTCCAAGAGTTCCACAGCACTAATTTTTTGTGCCTTTGTGCTCAGTTCTGTTACATTTTTCTATCCATCAGATAAAAACCTTGAGCTCTGTTAATGCTTTCCATAAAACAGCAGTCTGGTGATGTTGCTTTTCTCAAAGCCTCACCTTAGTACCACCCCTTGCTTAGAATGCATCTCCATGCTAAATAAATGGAGAATCCCTCTCAAAGTAAAAGTTGATCTGAAAGCTACCATTGGAAAGACCTGGCTAGATTCCTATAATTCACTTTCTGATAGGTTGGGGGGTTTTTTAACATAAAAGTTGATTTGACATTGAAACTGCATTGGTGCTGTTGTGTTTTGGCAGCCGGTCCAAGTCCCGGTCAGCGTCTCCAAAGAGAAGGTATGTTGGTCTCCTACCAATAGCATAGACTCCATAGAGCTGGCATTGTAGTGTGTGCACTGATCTCTGCTGAGGAGTTTGCTGCTTGTAGGAAAGCACTGGAAAGGTATTTTGCTGAGATCTCTTTCACAGCAATAATGTTGTGATTGTGGCTTTCTATATGGTAATATGTACATGTGGTGATAAATGCTCAGGGTTATATAGCAGTGTCTTGTTGCCTGCTCCTCTGCTCCTTTTGTTTCACTGACAGTTTTATTGCACAGGGACTGATGAGCTTAAAGCATAGAACAGATGTAGGAAATCAGCTTTCAGTCTCATTAAAAGCTACACTGACATTGGGGAAGGTAGAGTGGAGTACCCTGGTACAGCAGTCAGGAATGGAAGATCAGGCCTGTTACGTTCACTGCTGTTAGATTATATTTTTCTTTCACATAAGTCAGTAAATAGTTTTCTCTCTCTGTTTATATGCACAGAGTAATGTGTAGAATATGTGGAGTGACAGAATCAGCAGCAATTTTTTCCCTCATTAGGATTCTTTAATAGTTCATTTTTACAAGTTTAGTGTCAAACAATCACAAGGGCATGAAAAAGTGCTCCTAAATGCTGAGTGATCACCATGATAGGTTTTGACAAGCTGCTGTATCAGAACAGCGAAGAAGTATCTTGCCCCTTTGGAGGTCACTATAAGTAATACCTTTTGGATGGCCTTACAGAGATCTCATTTTAAAAATAACAGTAAAAAAAAAAAAGTGTTATCTCCAGATCATCAGCCTGTTAATTTTTGTCAGTAGTGATTGGTTATTTTATTTAAGAAGTGCTTCAAGGGAGCCAGAGTCTGGGTATACTCCTGTTGCTTTTTCCTGTATTTGTGATTCCCAAGCATTTCTACTGAAATGTTAATTGTGGATTGTTTTCCTTTCAGCCGTTCACCATCAGGAAGCCCTCAACGAAGTGCAAGTCCTGAAAGAATGGATTAAAGTTATGAAGTTAATCTTTTAGGAAGAAAGTTATTTTGCTTACATTATTATAAGGGATTTTGTGGTGTCTTTGTAAATGTAAGAATGTAGATAGAAGAGTATATCAACTAAAATTTGGCATGATCTGGGTCTTCTGAGTTAGTCACACCAATAGACTAGCACAGGTCTCTTTTTATTGTATGAATTAACTTCCTGTGATATGAAAATGTGGGACTTTTTTATTGGCACATTGAAATAAAATGTGTATTTTTAACTAAAACTTCTCTGTAGTAACCCTGCTGCTTCTGTTAACGTTTGGGTAATTTTAGCTGGGTGCCATGTAACGTGGATGAAAAATGTCTCAAATGGGAATCATTAATCCCAGCTGGTGTCTTCTCAAGGTAGTCACTTTTCACACCTACTGTTGAATGGTCTTCAGTGAAAGGATCAGTTCCTGTTCTCCTTGAAATGGAATTTAAATACCATCTCTGTCTGCAGATGGATAAAAATTTGCATACGCCCTTTTCATTCCTTGATGTTTAGTGGGCATTCATTTTTCTGCAAAGCTCATTCTCTGGTGTTAGACTGTTGATACCAGATGCCTCAAAAATCTAAGGATAAACCTTCCTCCAAAACACATCTTTTAAGCAAATAACATCTGCAGAAACCTTTAGAGGTAATAGAAATGATTAATAACTTCACAATTGCTACTTTCACTTGTTGCATATTTTAGTTCTTTGGGCTATTGATGTAAAGAAAACACTTTAAAATACCTCAAGGTGTGTTTTCCTTTTTTGAGGGAAGATCCTTAAAATTAAAGATTATCAGCTGCCTTCAGGAGTTCTAACCTGCTTCACAGAAACTGGTATGGTTGTCAAGCAGCCCTTATCCTGGAGATGGCTTTGTTGAGTGATCCCAATTTCTTACAGCAAATACACAACCTGCAGGAATCATTGTTTGTGTATAGGGGTGTCAAATTGTCCTCATTCTGTATGAATGAATTGCATGACAAAGCACTGCAACACAGATCACAGCAAGGGACTGGCAACAATGTTGGGCTGTGAACAAAAAGCTGCTAGGCAGAGGGGTGAAAAGCATCTTTTCTTCTTGCTGGATTGGCTATCTAGCAGAAATAAAGGCCAGTTTCAGCAGCAAGTAAGCACTGAAATGGAAAGCCAGGCCTGTTAGGGCTTCCAATGAACTCTACCAGCAGTTTGCTTCCACTGTGTAAACCACAGCAAAACAGCTTAAATAAAGTTACAAGATGGTTTTGTTACACGTGGGGTAACACATGGTTTTCAAGAAACAGATTTCCTGCTAATGACTGCTTGGAGCTTTTCTGGGGGATGAGTCAACAGTCCAGATCCTGAAGGCGCTGTTCTGCTGCAGCATCCTCTGGCCTTCATTCCTGGTCCTCACTGTGCCTGGATCCTGTCTGGCTCACCATGGCCATTGGTGTTCCAGGTGGATTCTGGCCATACTCACCAAATCCCACTGTGGCAGAGCTGACACAAATGTTACCCTGCAGTGATTTAGCTCAAATGCCTGAAGCCTGTGATACATGTTTGGAATATTTTACTGGTTGTGCATTGTGTACCTGCTGAGAGGCACACGTACGCCACTGCTCTGGAATTTCATCACCTTTTCTTTTCTGTACTCTCAAGGCAAACCTGCTCCACAATAAACCTGCAGACTGACACAACAGCTCTACTGGTACCTGTTTTTCAGTACCCAGAGACACTGGAAGACTGAGCAGAAGAGCCTGGGGTCTCTCTGCGGGGGCTGGGGTTCCTCCAAAGCCACCTGTGAGAACCTGAGCAAGGAGCGGGGCTGTGCTGGTGCGGGCAGCCGCTCCGAAGGACAGCCAGCACTGAGTAAGGTGCAGAGGGGGAGCTGTGACAAAGATGGTATCTGTGCTTCTGTGCAGCTGTGCTGTCCAAAACTGAGTTCTGGCCTGAGTTTGGAAGGATTTCACCACAAATTCCATGCAGTGTTTGTGAGCAGTTGGAAGAGATGCCGTGACACAGGGGTGTGTTGTGGGACAGGTGCTGCTGTGACCCTGTGCCTCTGGGCAGGATGTGCACACCCCACACAGGCTGGCTGGGGGTGGGGGCGAGGGAAGTGTATCCAAGGTCTCCAGTGTGGTGGGCAAACCCCACTCTCAGGGAAAATGGGGTTCCCCTGGTTTCCAACCTGGTGTTCCCTGTTGGTGGGCTTTGTTCTGCAAGGGATACCAGCCCTCACAGACAATGTGACCTGTGCACGCAGGGCGGTAGTGGGGCCCTCTTTCGGTGTCAGGGTGGCAGAACTGACTGTGACAGCGCTGCCACATTTGCAAGCCCCATGGCCAGGCACTTCCCCGGGGGGCAAGGGCATTCCTGCATCTCTGCAGCTGAGGAGGCTTGGTGAAGTGCTGCAGGCCCTGGGTGCAGCAGCATGGCAGGAGAAGGTGGCACGCAGTGCCTAATGCAAGGATGTCTGCCTGTTTCCCTGGGGAGTGGGCTATCAGCTCCCTAATAAGACAGTCCTGTCATCCCCTGGCTTATGCCAATTTTTCTGAACCCTCAGAAACATGGAGGTTTTCATCACATAGTTCCCTGATAAAAGATTTTGGAGATTTCATGTGGAAACACAGTGTTAGGATGATGGGTTTTCTCCTGCAGTTGTATATTCAGGAGTAAATGGGTGTGGCCACTTCACTTCAGCAACCAAAACAGAGCATAGGAGTTTAACCAGAGCATCCAGGGCAGCCAGCTTGGATAATCCCAGCACTCTGTCCTCCTCAAAGCTGTCCTGCATGAGCACTGCACACCACTTGGAAAGAGCACTTTGATGGAAGGAGCAGATGTTGTAACAAACAACCACAACTGCATCAGCCTTCCCACATGTTCCACATGAATATTACTAGATATTCCCCTGCTGTGGTTGGAGCTGTGATGTCGTGCCCCTAAAGGTGTTTTCAGTGCATTTTTATTGCAAAAAAACCCCAATGCCCAGGGTGAGAGGCTGGACAGAGTGTGAGACTTTTGCACAGACCAGACAGCAGCAGAGGTGGTGACAGGAACTAAAGCCAGCAGAAACCACATGTGAAAACCAGAGAGGAGGATAAAGGCTCCCAGATCAGATGCATTCACCCAGGGTAGTTGGAAAGCTCTGTTTGGCACCTGGCAGGATTTCTGGCTCAGCTGCTGGAGGCACTTACCCCTCTTAGTGCTGGGAGTCAGCAGCCCTTCTCCTCAAGCAGTGTTGAACACGAGCCACGTGGTGTGGTTGTATTCCTCACCCGGATGGAGCAGGGCATTGGGGAAGTGAGGCTGGGGAGAAGCAGCAGCACATCAGTGACTGTGAACACATTCCATGGGACCAGCAAGCATGGCTGCACTCCTCTGTTCTTCCCAAGGCATATTCCCACAGCTCCCCCAGCCATTTCCAGCAGCAGTGTGTAACCACCCACCATTGCCAGTGGGCTGTGGGTGAGTCCCACCGCTGGTTGAATCCAGGCCGTGAGGAATGACTCAGATATGAAGGATGTGGCAAGGCCCCTGTGGGGCCCTCTGCTCATGACCCCACACCTTTGGGAAGCTGGGCTGCACAGGGCCAGTCCCTGCTGGGCTGACACGTGTCTAAAGCCACTACATGGAGGGTGGTGGGGCCATGTCCCCTGCCACAGGAGCCAGGTAACCCATGCGAGGGGAATGGACAGCTCACCTTGTTCACAGCATCAGGCCAGTTCTGGGTTTCCAGGCAGAAAGCCGAGTGCTTGGGGTACGTGGCACCACCTTTGCCCTTCAGGGAACCATCCAGGAAGTTCCCAGTGTAAAACTGGATGCCAGGCTGGGTGGTGTGAACCTCCATGGTCCTGCCGGTGGGCGGGTGGAAAACCCTGCGGAGATGCCAGTGGAGAATGACACAGGACTGGCTGAATGGGCACCCCCTGGCTCCAGGGATGGGGATCCTGCCAAGGTCCCAGCCTACCTGGCCACAAGGCGTCGATCCTGCCCCTGGTGCAGGCAGAAGTTGTGGTCAAAGCCACCCAGGTGAAACTTCTGCAAGTGCTTGCCCAGCTCCACAGGCTGCCGGAGATCAAATCCAGTGCCCTGCACGGCGGCCACCTCCCCTAAGCAAGGGGAACAGCAGGCTCAGCCACTCAGCCACATGCCAGCAAGGCTATTTGTCCCCCAGCATAGCTGGCAGCTCCTGGGGACACTGCTGCACTTAGCAGGGACAAAGCACAGCCAAGGAGCAAGAAAACACATGAAAGTTTGTATATATACAAACCCAGCATTTTCTCCCTTGTCCTTGTTAAGACTGCTGTGGGCATACAGTGTCCTGTGATAAAGCAGCACAAACAACCCCAGGACATACTAAGCACACTGCAAAACCAACCCAAAGGTGAGAGTTTTGCATGGAGGGCAGAATAAATGCCTTGAAAAAAAAATGAAACTGTTCCAATTCAGGCTCTTACATAAAATACAGCAGGTATTGCACACAAGGGGTCTGTCTTTAATAATTGCACAAGTCTTATTTTCACCCCAAGACTAAGACTACCCACACAAGAAGGAACTGCAAAAGGCAGGGGTAGCAAGTAGCCACAACTAAGATGTGAAACAGCTCCATGGTGAAAGCAGCAGGGAGAAGTGGGGCACAGGATTGGGTATGGCCTTAAGCTCTTGCCCTATTTGTCCACAAGCATGGCTCACCAAGCTGAGCAGAAGCCACCTGGACCAAAGAATCCACTCCTCCAGGTGCCACAGGGAGCTTGTCTCCTGGATGGACCCACAAAACAGCCTCACATCCCACGTGCCTCTGGCCCCATTTGCAGCTGCTCCTGCCTGCTCCCTGGAGTGGGTGTTGGACCTGGTTGCCAGCACCTGGCTCTGCCCACCCTGCCCATGTGCAGTGGCACTGCACCCAAACTGAGGGCCCCGCTGTGCCTGGGGTCCCCTGGCTGCTGGTGTGTCCCCCTTGCCAGGCAGAGCTGCTCCTCACACCCACCAACATTGCTCAGAAAGATCACTTCTTCCACCTGGTGCCACAAGTGCTGCACCACCTACCAGTAGGGATCTGGGTGTCATCCACAGGCAGGTAGGAATCTGCTTCAATGGAGATCTCGTGGTCATAGACATCCCGGGAGCCCTGCAGGAGGATGGGAAATGCTGGGATTTCTGTTTAAGCAGCCCTAAGCACAGCTCTGAAGTGACAGCCCACAGTGGTGCCCCAGCTGATCTGGTAGTGCCTGGCGCACCTCCTGGCCCCCATTCCATCTTGATCTTGGGCACAAAACAAAGGTACTAGCCTGGGCAAAAACCTTCATGGGCCCTAGGAGCTGTAAATCCCACAGGGATGAGGCCATCAATCTGTACTTGTACCTCACTGAGGGCTACCACCCTGCAGACTGACTAGCCAGAACATGCTGGGTACTGAGCACACAGCAGCAGGGAGAAGGGGAAGGAAGCAAGCAAGGGGAAATGCAACCCATCCTCTTGTCTCATCACTGCAGGGGTGTGCTCCTCCTCCACAGCCTCAGGAATGCTGGCAGGGAACCTGCTGGGCAGGCTCAAAGCTGAGCCTTCAGGTCACTATCTAATCTGAGCAGCAATTTCATGCCCAAAGGTCTCCTGTTCCCCTGGAACACGCCTGGGTTGCACAGTGCAAGTGTTGGTGTTACTGCACCCCTGGGAGCACCAGCACCAACAACTGCACAGCCATTCTCAGGGCAGCAGCCTGGGCATGGCTCCTGCTCAGAGGGGCTGAGTTGTCTCTCACAAACACTTTTAAGGGCCTTTGTCTCACACCCAAGTGTGACTGCACTGTATTATCCTATGGCTCTGCCCAGCAACACTTTATTTCTCAGATCCTTTTCCTCCAGACCCAGTTATAAACTGTGAGATTAAAACACAGCTGCAATTCACTGTCCATGTGGTTGACATGACCCTGTACAGGTGTGTGGGAACCCTCTGTATCCTGCTGCTGCAACCTTGCTAGTCTGCAGTCCTGGCCATCTCACACCCCCTCTCTGTGATGTTTCTTCTGCCCATTTTGACCTGGGTATTTTGGTGCTGCCACTCCAGGCCCTGATTTCAACCTGCATCACTCTCTCAGAAATGCCAACAGAACACAACTAAGAAATGCCAGGCCACCATTAGGGCATGCCAGCTCTACACCTCCTCCTTAGTCTTCCCAAGGGACGAGGAGAGAGCAAAATTCCCCAGTTACACACAAAAGGAGAACCAACATGCTCAGCTGGACGTCTCTGTTCAAAAAGCCCCTGAGACGTGTCCTCAGCCGAGATCCATGTGATTCAGTCCTGTTCCTGCATGCGGCCCATGATGCACAGAGAGAACCCTCATTGTTGTGTCCCCAAAACCATGATGTGTCCCCAGACCAGCACATTGGTTCCAATGACCATCCCACAGGTCCCCAGGCTGTCTTCCCCTGCACAGTGTGTCTCCATGGGCCCATCTCCCCACACTTACCTGCCCTGCCAGGTTGAAGTAGGAGTGGTTTGTCAGGCTGATGGGGGTTGTCTTGCTGGTCTGGGCCTGGTAGTTGATGGCCAGCTCCCTGCCATTAAGGGTGTAGGTGACCCAGACTTTGAGGTCACCAGGGTAGCCTTCCTCGCCGTCGGGGCTGAGCCGGAAGAAGCGGACGCCATTCGGGAGCACCTCGGCGCTCCAGAGCACCTGCACAGAGCATGGCCTTGGTGGGACAGGAATGGGAGCACATGCCCTTCCCTCCTGCCCCAGGCTGCCCTTGGTGGGACAGGAATGGGAGCACAGTGCCCTTCCCTCCTGCCCCAGGCTGCCCTTGGTGGGACAGGAATGGGAGCACAGTGCCCTTCCCTCCTGCCCCAGGCTGGGCTAGAAACACAGACAAAATGCACACAAGGGATGCTGCACTGAAACAAAGGCCTTTTCAATCACCTTTCCAAAGAAAACACAAGCACTTGGTAGCCAGGACCACCAGCAGGGAACAAGCTTTCCACTGAGCACCAGACAAAGGAGGCAATTTGGCAGTCTGAGGGGGTCTGTTCCAGCCTGTGTTATGCCATGCCTGAGAGTCCACGTTTGATTTTTGCCCTGCAGCTGGACTTATCCCCCTTTCCATAGATTTTCTCATGTGCAACACCACTTCAACAAGCTGCCACCCAGCACTGGCACTAGGACAGTGTAAGAACACACTGGGGGCTCCTGCCCAGGGGCTGGAGTTGGGTTAAATGGTACCAGATATGCTGTCAGACACATCCAGAGAGCTGGGACCTCTCTGGTTCTTGTCCCTGCCAGCACCCAGCACCAGTGCTCAGCTTGGAGCCAAACATGCTGGAAGGGAAGCCAGCCAGCACACTGTACACAGCTGCCCAGACAGCCTGTTTGGCCCTGGCCATGGGCCTCATGCTGGGAGGGTGGATGTGCAACAAGAGGCTCTCTGAAGCTTCACACTTCCCTGAGGAATAGCTCCTGTCTAATCAAAGGGGACAGATTTAGGAACAGGGGCCAGTTCAACACTGCTGAGTTGATCCCTCTCGTGTCCCACACAGAGATCACCAACATGGGGCATGGTCAAAAGCCAGCATTTTCACCAAACACAGAACTTGGGGGTGACAAATACACCTGGCTGCAGAGTAGGCCCTCCTCCACAGCGTGCAGTTTGACTGCAGCTCCCATGGCTACAGTAAGGATGCTGCGGCTTTTAAGTACGAGTTTCTATTTAAGTCCTTTGAAAAAAAAGCTATTAAAGTCCAGAAAATGTACAGGTATCACTATTTTTTTCTAAGATAAGAGAGTTATTTTCAAAAATCCCCCAGCAGTGTGGTCACACACTGCAGCCCTGTAAGTGCAGCTGCAAGATGCTCTCATCAGACCACATGCTGACCGCAGCACTGATGTCTGCAAAATCAGGAAAAGCTCAGAAGATGACCATGATAATTACAGCCAAATGCCAGTATGTGGTCTTTGTTGGGGTTGACCAGTTAGGGCTCACTGTCTCTGAACAGTGACTGTTTCCTGGCTGGAGGGGGTCTTGGGCAGGCGTCCAAGCATGCCCTGTGGGCCAGAGGACACAAAGCTCCAGCTGGGAGATGTCACTACCTTGTCCCCAGCAAGCTGGTGAGACTTCAGCAAGCAAGCAAGGTGAAGAAGCAGAAGAAGAGACCACATCCCCTGCCTGCAGAAGACAGCCTGGAAGCCCTGGGTGTGAGGAAATGCATGCTTTCAGCTGCAGATCACAGGTGGCAGGGCGCAGAAAGAAACTTTAAACAAACCAAACTGTCTTCTTTGGGGGTACAACAGCCAAGCTATCCCCAGTACTCCCTTTTTTCTAAGGCTGCTGAGGAGCATTTCATCCCAACCTGATGCCAGTTCACACTGTGATTTTTTTTTTTCAGGGACCCTGGCTTTTTTCTCATCAGCCTGGATTCCTTTCACAAAAAAATCCCATTAACCCCATGAAAGCAGTTGCACCAGCACATTCATGAGCTCTTAGGGGGAAATGGTGGATGATCTACTTGCTGGTTACAAATGCATTTGATCCAACAAAACCCAAGGCTTCAGGAAAGCAGGGACTTCTGAGCCTGCTCTGCAATGGAGCAGGGTTATCAGCAAGGCTTTCAAGAGAAGAGATCCTCCACTGCTCTTACCATCTGTACACAAATACCTGACTTGAGCAGCAGCTCTTGGGAGGACAGAGAAAAAGCTGAGTGCCCTGGGGCCCAGGAAAGGTTATTTCATCTCAGGAGGTCATAGGGGAGGGCTGGGAAGGAGAGACAGTGATCCTGGATCCTGGGGCATTTTGCAGGCCTGAGCTAATCCCCCTCTGCTGTGAGTCAGAGTGAGAGCCTGGGGGACCTGTTGCAGGATGAAAGCAGCACCAAAGAGGGCAATGCACCCTGCTCTCACCTTACTTGGGAGTGTTGTCACAGGCAAGCAACAACGATAAGTTTCTGCAGACTCATGTCCTTCTGACTCTGGGAGGAGCTATGGGCAGGTAACAGCCGAGAAACTGCAGGTGGAAATGAGTCTGCATGGACAGACCCTGTTCCCCAGGAAACTTTCTTTGGGCACTTGCACAACTCCATGATGCACTCCAGGTGGTGCAGCTGGTGCCTGGGGAGCCTCCATTGCTCCTGAGGGTAGGTTCTCACTGCTATGTCCCAACCTAGGCTGTGCAGAAGCAGCACTTGCCCAGAACAGCCCTGTCAGAACTCAGGGCTCATGAGGCTCAGGGCTGCAGTGACACAGAGGAAGTACAGCAACTCTCTACTCAGCACCCAAGGATGACATAAGTGAGTCCTGCAAACTCAGGCAAAGACAAGCCAACCCAGCAGCTCGCAGGATCTGTCTCACTTCCCCCTGTTTCTGCACTCACAGCACTTTCTGAGCTGATTAACTCAATAACACCAGAAAATGCTACAGGGTTCAGGGGTGCAGACATCACACATCTTGCCACAGCCCCACAGGTTGTATGCTGACAGGGCACTGGGATTTTCACCTTGTCAAACCCCTTGGCTCCTCCGTGCAGGCTGTTGGGCCCGTTGTTGATGAACAGCTGATACTGCTTCCCGTCCACACTGAACTTCCCATTTGCAATCCTGTTGGCAACACGGCCCACGACAGTACCGAAGTACGGGTGCTTCACCATGTAACCTGGCCAGAGAAACAGCACACAGTTAAATAGAACCCCTGGAAAAGGATGGGCAGTCTCCAGGACCTTATGGACTTATGGACTCAGAGTGTCTCTCTCTGCTTCTCTCCAGCACTAAATAGGTGGCTGCAGTCCCAGCGTTTCACAGGACACGCAGCTCATTAGTCGTGAGCATCTTTGATTAACACAGCCTGATGGGACCTTGTATTCTTTGCAGATTTGAAGAAAAGGCCTCTGTCACTGCCCGTTAAGGAATGACCCAGAGCTGCCCCAACAGAGTAGCATACTGCCACCAGTGTCCCCGTTCCACATCCACCACAGAGCCCAGGAGAGGCAGCAGAAACTGTATCTCTTCAGCCCGTGATTGGAGGGGGGGGGGCGCCTTACAAGCAGGTCAGGCAGTGTGGCAATAAACCAGTAAGTGCTGGTTAAACTGCCTGATTGTGGGTTTTTAATTTTTTTTTTTCAAAGAAACTTATTAAGACCCACCTTCTAAAGTGTCAAATCCTAGGACAATATCTGAAAACTGCCCATCCTTGTCTTTTGTCTCCAGCCTGGTGATAATGCACCCAAAAGACAGGATCTCCACTCTCACGCTGTCCGACTGTAGGACGAACTTCTCCACCTCTCCGCCTCCCTCCTCCGGGGGCATCCGCCCGAACGCCTCTTTCCGCACCGTCGTCATCGCTCCCTAAAAGCCGGCCACCGGCACCTCCGGCGGGAGCTGCAGCCCTGCCCGGGAAGGACTCTCAGGACGAAGAAGCAATGGCGGCGGGAGAGGAGCACTCCCAGCTCCAAAGGGCAGCCAGAACAATCCTTGTTCGCTTCCCGTGCGGGGCGGAGCCGCGCCGTGTCCGGCGGAGCGGAGCGCGGAACTGTTGTGACCGTTCAACGTCGGTCACCGCGGGGCAGCGGCCAGCGGGACGGGGCCGGGGACAGCGGAAAGGGGCCGGGGACAGCGGGAAGGATGCCGGGGTCAGAGGGAAGGATGCCGGGGGCAGAGGGAAGGGGCCGGGGTCAGAGGGAAGGATGCCGAGGGGCAGCGGGAAGGATGCCGGGGGCAGCGGGAAGGATGCCGGGGGCAGAGGGAAGGATGCCGAGGGTCAGCGGGAAGGATGCCGGGGACAGCGGAAAGGATGCCGGGGTCAGAGGGAAGAATGCCGGGGTCAGAGGGAAGGATGCCGGGGTCAGAGGGAAGGATGCCGGGGGCAGAGGGAAGGGGCCGGGGGCAGCGGGAAGGATGCCGAGGGGCAGAGGGAAGGATGCCGGGAGCAGAGGGAAGGGGCCGGGGGCAGCGGGAAGGATGCCGAGGGAGGGAGCGAGGCTGCGGGCGCTGCCAGGCCGGGCAGCCCAGCCGCCACCTCGCAAATTCGGGGGCCGGAGCATCTCTGCCAGCAGCTTCTCTCTCCCATTTGCATCACACCGGCACGGCTCTCACGGCCCGTGCAAAGCGTGGCACAACAAAAAGCTGTTTCCTCCCCTTGTGCCCTCCCTTAGCCCCTCCACAAGAGGCACAAGGCAGCGACTGCTGATGCTGCTGGAAATCAGGCTCAGGGCATTTGCTGGCCGGGGTGCTGTTATTATCAAAGCTGTGGCTCTGACCCAGACTCCATTAAAAACCATCATCTTCTGAAATGCCAACTTCTGCCTGTCTTTGCATGTATTTGCAGTCTGCAAGGGAAAACCTAGGCAACATTTAAGTGATGTATGTGCACATCTTTGATCTCTCTAGTGCAAGGCACAAGAGTATCTCACTACAATTTGGTAAGCTTGTGTTTCTATGAGGGCCCATTTTCAAAATTTGTTCAAAGAACCCATAACTCCCACCAAAAAAACTCCGTTGGTCAACCTGATTTTGCTAAATATTAATTTCCAACACAGCCATCATCTTTTGACAAGACCATCTACAAATTCCAAGCAAACACAGCAACCAAACCTCCCACGCGGGGCTGGGCAGAGATGGTTTGGAAATCTGCATTTCTTTGTTAGCAAAGGCAGTTCCTGTGTTTCCTTCTGCACCATCACAACCCGTGCTCTCTCCACAAACAACATTTGAAACAAACATACCTTTTTTCTGCTCATCCACAGCACCTCCCATATGAGACAGGATAGGGAGCAGCCCAAATTTTTAAGTGAGGAATGCGATGGATGGATGGATGGATGGATGGATGGATGGATGGATGGATTGATGGATGGATGGATGAATGGATGGATAGATGGATGAGAGGTCAGTCTCATTCATAACTGATTCATGGAGTGTTTTCATGTGCAGAGCATTCCCAGAAGTTCACTCCTTAGCACTTCAGCTTCCTCAGCACCTCTCTCTTAATGTACTTCTCTAGACACAGGAAGCATTTCTGCTCTGCAAAGACAATATTTCATTAAGCTGTGGGGGTTTTAACACAAGAGGAGGTGCCATTTTGATTTGCTTCTCTGATTCACACCAGAAAAGGTCCAGATCCATCTCTTTGTCTGATGTAACAGTCATGAACACTGATTTTCTCACCTTCCTTCACAGATGCAAGACCACTCGAGCCCCAGTGACCATCTAAGTGTGTGCTTGGAAAAGAAATACCACAGACCAATCTGTTCATGAACCAGCCACACGATTTTCAGGCTGGCAGATAAACTTGAAACCAGCTTGCACAAGCCTGAATCCTGCAGGGAACAGTAAGGAGCAATGTCAGCTTCAGGATCTGAGCAAGGTATTCCAAGAATCCTGCTTCATGACTTTGAGGATTTCTCGTGGCTGACCTTCGCATTCATCCTGCCCCTCTGCCCCTGGTGACTGGGGGAGGTGAGCAAGGGGGAGGGCAGGATACAAGCAAGTCGTGTTCAACATCTCACCACACTGGATTTTCTTTTTAGTCATTCCTACTTTTAAAAAGCAGGGGTTTAGGGCCTTGTTCACTGTGACACTGAGTTTTGCTTAGACTGATGGTCAAATGCAAGCTCCTTTCATTTTCTCCTCTTCCTTTCCAGAAGAAAACTGCAGTACTGGGGCTGAACACACCTGGCATTGGCAGCAGGGCACTTCCACAGCCAGGGAGTGCTCAGAAGAGCTCGCTATTCATCTCTCAGACTTTGGTTTCACTTCTCTGCACAAACAGCTGGGAAGTGCATCAGCTCTCCAGTCCTTATCTGCCCTCTCTCACACTTGGAAATGCAGCAGCCTTTCCCAAGCCAAAATGCAAAATGCTGGTGAGGAACAAGGATTTATCTGCTCTATCACAGCAGGTATAGAAAAAGAGTGACATGAAGGCAGGTTATGTGCCTGGTTCCACTGCTCCCAGCTCCTCCACACCAGGCAAGATATTTCTGTTTTTACAAAAGGCAAGCTGGGAAGTCAGCCTGTGAGTGATCCTGTCTTTCCCCCACCACAAAGCTGGTAAAAAGGCACACTGTGAAAAGGAAATTTGTTATTGTTGTTGCTTGTTTGGGGTTTTTTTTTGTTTTGTTTTGTTTTGTTTTTTTAAAGGGAGCCATTTAACATATAGTCAACTCCTATGACAAAATAAAGTTGTTATGAGAAAAAATACAGAGGAGAATTTCTTTACCTGGGACCAGAAGCCTGGAAATTCCAGGTGTCTGCAGGGCAGCTACCATTTTGCACAAGAGAAGTGAAGCATTGTATATTATACATCCTTATGCTATTTTTGTAGGAATAGTTTATTTTTTCAATATATTTTTCAAAATACTTTGCTTTTTTCCCCCATGATTTCCTTTAATCCAAAATAAAGTAACTTTGCTTAAAAGGCTACAGTCAAACAAAACTCTGTCTCTATGAGATCTCTTTTTATTTGGTCATCAGGCACTTGTGTAATAAATTACATCACTACATTTCCTTCCTTCATTTTGCCTTTATGTTAAATCCAGCTGTGATTTTCAGTTTATTCTGGACACAGAGCGAGACTTGAGGACTCATCTGACTAAGAAAATAATTTTAAAGGGCATTTCAGGTTTCTGATGTGTTATGCTCACTTATAGGATCCAACTCTGTTCTGAATTACCCAGACCCATAACCTCCATTTTCATCACAGCTGCCTTCTGCAATGGAACAGGAGAGGGATGTTAATGCCACTCACCATCCTCGAGACAGGTGACAGGGTGTGTGTGTCCTGTGAGGAAACTTTGGACAATACTCCTGGACCAGGTTTTTTGGACCAGATCTCTTGTTCTGGGGAACCCACAGTGTTTGTCTCGGCACCACGAAGTGGTGCAGCTTTGCAGGCAGAGGCCAGGAGCTCTTCAGCTGTTATCACACCAGTGGCATTTTGATTTGAATGTGACAGGGACACTCCAAACACTGTAATACTTAAGCAATGCCAATGGTTACAGCTTGCTGTTGCTCAAGAAACTTCCTTGTTCAGTAAGAGCAGCAGTGCTGTGCCCAGCACTGCAGCTGGAGATGTGATCCGTTGCTGCACAGACACCGAAAGGAACACAGACATTGCTTCTCACACTTTCCAGCATTACAAGGCTGTAATTAATTCCCTTTTTCCAACACTCTCTGCACAAGCTCGAGGGGATGAGCTGGCACGTGAAGCCTGCAGGGAATTGGAATCAGCAATCAGCGGGCAGAACAAAAGCAGAGACGTTCCCCCACCATTTTATTGTCTGTTTGTTGAATGTATCTTCAGCTCTGCTGGGAACTTCCCGGCACACAGGCTTAAAATGGAGCCTCTGCTTTTTTTTTTTTTTTTTGCCTCATCTCTTCAGGGGCAAATATACCGAGCCATTGATTAGGTTATTTTGGGCTTGTGGCACGGCACAATTGCTCGCTGTCGTTCTGGCAGTCATTTCTCAGAAGCCTGTTACGCACACTTTACAGAGCTCTGGAAAACACAGAGCTACTCGAGAACATTTGACACAGCATGTTTCTGATGTGCCTTTGTGTGCAAGTTGTTTGTGTCTCGGCAGCAGCCAAAGAGCCATTCGGATCTGTTGGTTGCTATAGTAATTACTTTTCTTGGGAACTAAAATAATAGCTTAGAGCTCCTGCAGCTCGCTGCCGTGTAGGCTGCCTTCAACCAGAGAGGCTTCCATTTCGTTTTGGAGGGGGCTGGGGACTCTCAAGTATGCTGAGAAACAGACTCTCCTCACTATGCCTGTGCAGCAAATTTTGAATTTAATCTTTGCAGAGGATGTGCCACAGGTCTGAAGGCTCAAAAATAAAAGTAGCTTATGAAACAATAGGACAGCTTTGCAGCTGCGGTTTCTGATGGGGCAAAGATTTGGATTTGCTTTCAATTTATTGTTACTGAAAGCTGATAGGAGAGGGACTGAGGCTCATGCTGAGACTGATTTTCAGTGCTAAGAACCCTACAAAACACTGTGTGGGGGGCTCAGAGGAGTTTCAAAAATGCTTAAGCAAGCCAAGAAGGAATGTGACAAGGGGGGCAGCTCTGCATCATTCAACGTTTTTCTCTCTGGTGAGGCAACTCTTGTATGGACCTGAATCTCTGGAGAGGGCAAGGGGGTCTCACAGTGGGCAAAACAGCCTTTCAGGGCAACCCAGCAGCTGCAGATGCCACCTCCCCCCTTCCATCTGCAGGCACAGAGCATTTCTGAGTGACATTTCAAACTGCAGCTCTGGATGTCTGCTTGAAAGGACACTGTGCAGAAGCATTTCCCAGCAGTAAGACAAACCCCATGCTGGGGGCTCTGGAAAGGTCTTTCAGTTGCTTTGGCCTCCTGGACTGACAAACCAGGGACTTCTGTGCAGCTTGCAGCCAAGTGGGCTGGCACAGCATGGCCCTTCTGGATCTGCCAAGGAAGCAGAGGAGAGGCAGGGCAAGTGGCACAAGAAGGGGTAAGCCCAATAACCCTCCTGCACCATGGAGCAGCTGCAGGCTGACTGCAG